ACTTTTACCTTTACCCATGCTTTTAGTACTGGATCCATATAGATAGTAAAGAGCATAAGCTGCCGCTTCCCCTTTCTCTCCAAAAGCTATCAATGAATGCAAAAACCCGGAATTTAAATCTTTTTCTATTTGTTCGGCAGAAATTCGAATTGTTTTGGACATTTTATGAAATTCTGCCAATTCTTTAATTAACGAGAATAAAGCTTTAGCATCCTCAGATTTTGCCAATCTAATTTTTATTTGCTTATCATCATTTCCATTTTTTATTACAAAATTTTTTTTATTTAAAGGATTAACAGAAAATAATTTTGGAAAATTTTTATTTTTACTATTTATTCCCCAAAAATCCAATCTTTTTTTATTTAAAATTTTATTATTTTTTATTCCATTTACAACAAAAGAAGAACTCGTCACTTAATTAGAATTAGGAGATTACAAATTCTATTAAATAAACATACACAAAGATTTATTATTCAAAAGTGATTGGTTTCCAGTTGCTTGACAAAGAATTAATATATTAATTGAAATAATACAAAAAAGAAATAAAAAATACATAAATAATTATTTATTTTAAATAAAAAAAATTAATAAAGATAATAATAATAAGCCCCACACTTTTTATCCCCCCCCCCTCCCCCTCTCCCTTATACAAAAATAAATGTGATACGCACAAAAGGACATGCCAACTTAATTTTATTTGAGTAAAGCACAAAAGGGCGCGCGGCCATAAAAGCTTCAATAAATTGCTTCAAGATTTCCAAATCTTTCCAAATTTAGTATTAAACAATTACTCTCAACGAGCTAAAGAAATTGGTGCCAAAATTGATAAGGTCCAGAAACTTTCCAGCTAATTATGGCTTTGCGTCATTATAGCCGCGCGCCCTTTTGGGCATGTCACATTTTATTTTTGTATAAGGATAAACATTGATCTTATTTTGCCTCTTTTAGGCGGCATTAAAGTGCATTAATAATCATGATACAGAAAAAGGGCGCGCGGCACTTTTAAATATTGAAAAAGTGCAAAATTATTTTAAAATATTTTTTCTTTGATTTTTTTTAAATTTCTTTGAATTATTTTTATTTTTTAAAAGTTTCAAAAGAAGTTTTTTTTCAATTAAATTATTTTAAAATACATATGTACTAAATATTATTGATTTAATAACTTGTATAGAATAATAAATTTTAGTAAACCTATAAAATTATTTTTTTTTCAGAAAAAATATTTTTAAAGGAAATGTCAGAAAATTCTGAATTACTTAAACGGCTCGATCCTTTTGATTATTTTAAAAAATTTCTCGTTGAAGGAATTTACCCTGAAGGAAGAACAATTAATTCGTTTCGAGATTCTTTAATTGAATGTAGAGGGAATGTAAGTGATTATCAGGTAAATTGAAGTTTTTCTGAAATTAAAAGTAAATTTAAAAAGTCTTCTGTAAATGTTCAACAAGGAGGGACTTATATTTCTTGCAATGTTAAATTGAGTTTGGGACCAGATTCTGATGATTCTGTGTTTAAATGGGAAATTGAAGCAATGGAGAGTGTTCCCAAGGTTTTTGTTATTTTTTTAATTTTTTAAAAATTTCTTCTCTTCAAAAAAACAAAAATTATTTTAAATATTTTTAAAATTTCGACTTCTAATTAAAAATTTTCTAGTGCATTTTTTCTTAGGATTTATTAGAGCATTCAAAAGCCCATTTACGTGTATTACTTGGAAGTGATTCTTGTCTTATTTCTCCAGAACAATTGATTGTTTTTACTCAAAATGAAGGGAAAAACACAAAAAAATTTCAACTCAGATGGACTTTACATTTAAAAATAATGGTTTTTTTAGTTTATTTTTTTGGGTAATTTTGTTTTTTATTACACTGGCATTTTTATAGGCAATTATTCCCTAAAAATACAGCAAAGTTTATTTTTTTGGCGATTTTTTTAGAAAACTTCCCCTCTGTTTTTCTGCCTTAAAATTTCTCTTTTTATTTTTTAGGTTCTCAGTTGGGATGGTTTTCTATTAGATGCAATATTAACGGCAATACAAGCTTCTCTTTTAAATACACGGTTTTTATTTTTTTTAATTTTAAAAAAATTCTTTTTTAGCCTTCCAACATTTATTGAATACAAAACTTCAATTTTATCTGAAACTTTATTTGCTGAGGATGATGATTTTTTACTTGGAGAGGAAGTTCCTTTAGAATTTAATATTGAAAAGGTTTTTTTATTTTGCAATTAAAATTTGGAATTTATTAATTTTTGGGGAATCACCTGAAGAATTTTCTTTTTTTTTGTTCCGATCTTTTAGATTTTTTAGGATTTTCCCGTTCTTTTAAATCCTTAACCCATTTTTTATTTTGGTAAAATATTTAAAAGCAAAAATTCGTTAATTCAAAAATTAAAAATATTTTTTAAAAATTATTTTTAAGGTCCGAATTGTTAAACCTGAATGTGAAAATAAGCCGTTAAAGCTAGAAAAAATATTAGCTTATTTGCCTTTTTTGCTTTGTACATTTGAAAATCAAGAGAAAAAACAAGTAAAAATACTAGTTTTAATTTAAAAAGAAAATTCTTTTTTCAAAGCGTTATCTTCTTTGTGATCCCCCAGCAGATTTATGCAAACTTTATAATAATGATTTTTGTGAAATTATTATTGGACCAAATGGAAATATTAATTTATTAAGTATGTGTTGTTCACCTTCATTTTCAAAGTCCTATCCAAATGATATTGATGGAGAATTATTAAATGAGGTAATTAAAATAATTATTATTGAATAATTGGTTGGATTGTTGGGGACGAGGCTTTAATGCCTGAAATTTTCTCTAAAATATATTTCCATTTCTTGGACATTTATTAAAATATCCTCCTAGTAGAAGAGATGGAATATAAACATCGTGAAAAAGATCCAATCCAGAACACAACCTACCGTGTCAGTCCACCCCAATATATTCTTTGTGTTTTCGGAGTTTGCTGATAAAGTAGCTTCCTCGAAATTTACTATGATTAGGAAGGGAGTTGGTAAATAAAATTTTTGGATAAACCACTTCTCTCCCAAATTCTGAAACTTTTCCCGATTCTCTCAAAAATTTGGAACTTTGACATAATTTGGTGTAGTCTTCAATTGTCTTTTATTATAAATAGAAAACTTATTTTTTAGATTGTTAATATTGCTATCAAAAGACATTTATTTGTTAATAATGCTTTAAACAAGTGTATTCTTTGAAGTTTTATTATTTAATAAATTTTTGTTGAAATTTTTTGTAAAATATTTTATTCCCTTTATTTATTTCTGCCTTTTTAATCTTTTCTGCATATTAGAAAAATACAAATTCGAATAGTAATTTAAAGGGAATGTTGAATTTAATGGAGAATCTAGTTTTTTGTGCTCGATAAATTGTTTATTCACAACTTTCTGGGCAAGATGCTTTAAGTGAAAGATAAATAATTATTTGTAATTTCTCTCTAGCTTCTTTACATTTTCCCTTCACATTTCCAATATTAGTACATATAGGTTGATCTCTTAAAAAATATTTTTTTCTTTTAAATAAAAATAGGAAAAAAACTTTTTCCTTAGACAACAAATTTTGCATGTTTTGGCGCATTTTATTGAATAAGTTTGCCAATCTTTAAATTCAAATTAAATTATTGAAAGTAAAATTAGGGAAATTTCTCATAGATTTCAAATTAGCGATTTAGATATCTGGTTCGGGACCTATAGCCAGGTTATCTGGGTGAGTTATTGAAAAGTACCAGCTTCCCAAAAGGACTTATGGTTAGCGATAGAAATCTTAAATCGTGCCAAATAGAAGACATTTATAAAACATGGGAATTACGATTTTAATCGCTCACTTTGATCGTTCTCGCAGCGGTCTTCGTTAACAACCCCGTTAGTGTGAAATACAAGTTGACACTGAGAATCAGAATAAAATTCATTTTGGCAATTATCAGCACCTGGACCAACACAGAGCATGCCAAAAGTTGATAAAAATAATTGAAAAATTAAAAATAAATAGAAATTAAACATTCTTATTTTTTAATACACAAGGATTAATATATCAAAAACTTATGAAAACGATGGAAAAATTTGGATTTTATTTTCAAACAAATTAAACTTTGGCCTCTTCTAAATACTAAAGTCCATACAAGCTTAAATTCAAAGATTATTCTCTCCTTCCAAATATTCTAATTTTAAATTACCAAAGAGTAATACACAAAACAAATATTCCCGAGTTTCTATATTAGGCTAATTAAAATTATAGGTGTGACAATATTTCACTTGGAAATTTTGATAGTTCTATGAATAAAGAATTTCAGTTCAAAAATCAAAATACATATATAAAAAAATTTTTAATCTCCGTGGTTTCTAAAAATTATTCTAATTAGGCATTCTCTGCGCTCGTACTCGTTAAGAGTTTAACTATTTTCTATCTCGAATTTTGAGTTTTTTGTTTCTTTTCAAGTGCATAAATATAAATAACCTTCTCACAATCCTTTCATTCAAACAAAAAAATATCCATATCAAAAGCTTTTTTAAACAATTTGGTAAATATATTGACAAGGGCTAAAATAAAACCGGTGGAACAAACAAAATAAATTTGTGGCAAAAATAGAGAGGGTAACACGCACATATTTTTGTGCAATCATTTGATGAGGTCGAAATAAAATATTTTCTTTGCAATCCCTCAGAAAACTGTCACAACAAAATTAACATGTCTAGCCACCCCTCAATTTTTATTGCTCATTATTACGTTTTGATCCGTGCCGGTCTTTCTATAAAAATTATAAAATGAAAATTAAATGTGAAAGATTAAATTTTTATGTCTGGATTCCCCTAATTTCTATTAATTCAGAATTAAGATGAACACATGCTTCAAGTGAATAATTTTTACTTAAGCCATCATAAATCAAAATAAAGGAGATCAGGGAATTAAGAAATATCCTCAAGTTCTTCAGATAAATAGGTTGAAAATAAAAAAAAAGCTTAAAGAAGAATTTTTCTCCATTCCACGCCTCATTTGTCTTTCAAATTAAAAAAAAAGTTAAAATTAACATTGTGTTCAGGTCGATTTCCATGCCTAGGAGCATTCCCGATTGCCAGCTGATTGAATAACTCCAAATCAATATCTCCTCGGCTGTCAGTTCTTTCCACTTCTTGATGCTGAGTTTCACCTGAATCTTTTAAATTTTGTATTTAATTCGTAAATAAAAAAATAAATAAAAACACAACTACGTTTCCTGTGATGCAAATTCTGAACTTCAGCTTCCTGAGGTGGAGAAAGGCTTTGAACTCGAGATATCAAACGCTTTTGACCACAAAGTGTGCATTTTGTTGCTTTTGGCCAATTGTCGAATGTACTGAAAAATTTAAAGAGGAACATTAAATTATTAATTTTTAAAGGATTTTTATAAGTTTAGCCAGTTTTTGACTTAAAATTCAGTCCAAAGACAAATCAAAATTTAAATAACAATAACGGCATTTAAAATTAATTTTAAAAAAATTTTAAACTAACCAACTCTGACAAGTCCATTTATTAAGTGCACGAGAAATTGAATTATTATCCTTGTGCGGCTGAGTATGAATAATAGTCTGCTTAATTGGAATAACTTGGTTGTTGATAAATGGTGGAGTTGCATAACGAAGTGGTCTATCAGTATTACATTGAATGCAACGCTTTGTACGCTGACAATTCATATATGTACCTAAAAATAAAACAAGATTTAAAGCTGAATGGAAATAAAGCCCCCCTCCCCCCGAAATTTTTCCTAGCTATGGCTTCAATATCTATTAAACGAATTGGTGTGCTTAAAACAGTCAATATACTAACCCCGTAATTTCCAAATTATTTAAATTTATTCGGTAATAATTGTTCAAACATAAATTAGATATAAAAATTAAATGTAAAAATAAATATTTACATGTTGGACAAGGCCAACGAAGTTGTTCATCGTGAACGATTGAAGTTTTCACTGGAGACTCATTAGCAGGACAAAGTTCTGAAATTTACAATTAAAAATTATTAAAAACAAAAAACCTTCAATAAGCATAGGTTTATTCCGTGGTTGATAACACAAAACACATTTAATGCTAGCATCCCAATTGAGAAAAGTGCAATAAGTGCAAGCCCACTTTTTTGGAACAGAGTCGCCTTTGGATGAACTTTCAGCCATATTTTTTTGTAAAAATAAAACAAATATATTTTATTTTAAATAACAAAACAAAATAAAAAGTTTAATACTTAAAAAAGTAAACAATTAAAAATAAAATCGAGAAAATCATTTAGATACCGCGTGAACAACAAAATAACAAATTACTTAAATCCCTCTTTTTCTCTAGCTGTCTCTACTTATTTATAACGCTATATCCACTTTGAGTTTTATTTAACGGCTCCTATACAACTCATCTAATCGTTAACTCATCTATTCGTTAACTCATCTACACGGCCAAAAACGCTCAACTCATCCAATCCTTGAAATATCGGCCGGTTGAGTCCCTAGCCGGTTGAGTCCCTGGTCAGTTGAGTCTCAACCGGCCCAAGACTCAACCGGCGGTAATCAACCACTCAAACGGCCGGGACTCAACTGACCAGGGACTTAACCGGCTAGAGACTCAACTGGCCATGGACTCAACTGGTCATGGACTCAACTGGTCATGGACTCAACTGGTCATGGACTCAACTGGTCATGGACTCAACTGGTCATGGACTCAACTGGCCATGGACTCAACTGGCCATGGACTCAACTGGTCATGGACTCAACTGGCCATGGACTCAACTGGCCATGGACTCAACTGGTCATGGACTCAACTGGTCATGGACTCAACTGGTCATGGACTCAACTGGCCATGGACTCAACTGGCCATGGACTCAACTGGTCATGGACTCAACTGGCCATGGACTCAACTGGCCATGGACTCAACTGGTCATGGACTCAACTGGTCATGGACTCAACTGGTCATGGACTCAACTGGCCATGGACTCAACTGGCCATGGACTCAACTGGTCATGGACTCAACTGGCCATGGACTCAACTGGCCATGGACTCAACTGGTCATGGACTCAACTGACCAGGGACTTAACCGGCTAGAGACTCAACTGGCCATGGACTCAACTGGCCATGGACCCTACTTACCAGAGACTCAAACGGCCGGAGACTCAAACGGCCAGAGACTCAGACGGCGAGAGACTCAAACGGCCGGTACTCAATAGTCTCGTTCCGAAGGATTGGATGAGTTGACCCTTTTTGACCGTGTAGATGAGTTAACGATTAGATGAGTTAACGTTTGGATGAGTTGAACGTTTTTGGCCGTGTAGATGAGTTAACGAATAGATGAGTTAACGATTAGATGAGTTAACCCTTTTTGGCCGTGTAGATGAGTTAAGGAATTTTAGCCGTTTAGATGAGTTGAACGTTTTTGGCCGTGTAGATGAGTTAACGAATAGATGAGTTAACCGGACACGTATTTAACAGGAAGAGTATTCCACGTTTTTGAGAGGTTTATTAGCTGAAGATATTCTTTTTTTGTCGAAAACTAGATCAAACAATTATGAACTGTGAACTATTGTACTCCAATGTTTTAACTCAATTTTACAGAAAGGTGAAAAATAATGGGAGCGGTTAGAGAAATTAAGAGAGACGAAATAGTATGTAAAATTTTTCGCGTTCTGCAGCTGAGTGAAAATTGCCATAAAATTTCGGCTTTATTTTTTTAAACTTTTAATTAATTTAAGAACTTTAATAGATCTTAATTCTTCCTACAAACATTTCTCAATTTTCACGTTATGTTCGAACAATCACAACACAGTTCTTCTATAACTCCTTCATTGTCTGATAATAGCATTTCTGGGATGACTAATAATTCAATGCTAAATTCACAAACATTGGAAGAGTATTGTTGGTATTGGGGTGCAGCAACTAAAGAAGAAATTAGTGCTGCGATGGAAGTAAAAAATGTTAAATTTTACCTTATACATATCTTTTTTTATTTGACAGAATCAACAAAATGGTACCTTTGCTGTACGAGATGCTTCAACAAAAGGGCAATATACTTTAACTTTGCGTATTGATGGAACCAACAAACTTATCAAAATTCTTGTAAATTATTTCTATTTTATTAAATCAATTTTCTTTTAAGGTAGAAAATGGCAGATGTGGATTTACTCAAGATTCTATGGATTTTGATTCTATGGCCAGTCTTGTTCAATTTTATCAAACTTGCTCTTTACGAGATTTCAATGAAAAACTTGATACTTGTTTGCTCTATCCACTTAAATCGCCACAATCATTAACTTGTCAGAATTCATTGAAGGTTCATTGGTTTTCATTTATTCATAATTATTTTTTTATTTTTCAGTCAGATTCAACGATAGATCCCTCTTATCGTGTCAGTTTACTTAAATGTACATTTGAGGTCCTAAACTTTATTTAGCTGCAACAATGTTTTTCTTTCAATCTTTAGGCTATTCATGCTGAATATGATCGTGTTTCTAGACGTTATGATCAGTTATTTAATCAGCAATTAGCGTTAAATGAAGAGTACAATCGGAAACAACGTACAGAATCTGCCTACGCCGATGCTTTGAAAATATTTGAACGGAAAATTGCTGAATTGAAAACGTATGGAATTTTTTCGACTCGAAAAAATTGCTAGAAATTCTTATTTTAGCACAATATCTGGAGAAAAAGATCTCAATGACCGTGATCGTGAATCTCTTACAATAAATATTGAATTGCAGGAAGAGAGGTATTTTAATAAATTTTCCTGAATTATTAATTTTAGGATGGAAGAAATTGGAAAAGCCCAAAATTTAATGAGGGCAGCAATTCAAAATATAGGGCTTTCTCTTCAAAAAATTAATGAAGAACTTGGAAGATTAAAACCTTTACTGCTTAAATTACACAAGTTTACATTTATTTTTAGTTATTTTTATATTGTTTTTTTCAGAAAATGTGAAAAATATCGAGATAAACTTCTTGAAATGTCCAAACAGAAAGTTACACACGCCCAACTGGATAGAGTTGTCCAAAGTGTTTCTCTTGCGGTATATTTTATTTTTTAACATCTAATAAAGGACTGCTTTTTAAAAAATATATTCAAAATTTCTCTTTAGCTTGATTCAGAACCTTCCACTTTGAGCACATTTTTACTTAGAATTTCATTGCCAATGTCTAACTGGTGTTGTGAATGTTGGTTGTGGCATCAAGCAACTAAAGTTTGGTTGTTTTACTTCGCTAATCTTGTCATTTAATAGGATGAATCAATAGCACTTATTCGTTCTCTAATGAATGATTTTGACAATTCAAATGCTTCATCAGATGGTATTTTCCTCATTAGGCCAAGTAGTTCGCGCATTGGTTTTTACGCTTTAGAAATATCAAAAGACGGAAATGTGGTCTGTTTTTTTCATTCTTATTCCTTTAATTTTTATATTTTTATCACTTCAAGCATTCCTGTTTGATTGAGTATCGTGATCCTAGAACAACAATTGACCATTCTGGTGGTTATGGCTTTGCACAAACACAAATGCTTTTTGCTTCACTGATGGATTTTGTTCGGTATTATTCTGCTGTTCCATTAAAAGAGCATAATTCTGTTTTAGACACTCCTCTAATAACGGTATAAAATCTAAAAAAATACTCGAATAATTTTCTTTTAATTATTAGCCAGCTCTGAGTCAATTAAAACAAAGAAAAGAGAAGAACAATTCTAATACATCCAATACCGACCACCAACGTGATAAAGCAAAATTAAAAAGGATTGAAGCAATCGATGACGCGACAGAGTTGAGTACGAGTAGAGATGATGAGAGGAGTAAGGAGAAAATACTTGGCACTTTGTAATTTTTACTGAAATTTTTGTATAAATTATATATAAATTTATCTTTTTTAAAGTTTTTCAGAAATTGTTTTATATTTACTAAATATTTTTGTATTATCTATCATTGTTTTAATTTATTTTTTTCCCATAGACTAAATTTTTGTAGATGCGCGAATTTCCTAAAAATTGGAATGATGCAGCTAGTCGAAATAAATCGAGGTAGGTAATTATTTTAAATATGTCGGGAAGTTATAGTTTAAATAACAAAGCTTTGGCGTCATGCATATTCGTATTAAGACCGAAGTAATACCAAAAACGGCGAATATGGTCGCATATCTCGCACATCTTTTTAAGATTACTCGAATTAGTTTAATATCAATAATGTTCTAATAATTCTTTTTTAGTGCAAGATTTAAACAATTAAACTACTGTTTGAAAGACATTCGTGTTCGAGTCTCTTTGTTCGCTTATTTACTTCCAAATTGTTTTATTCCAATATTTGAACGATACAATTCAAATATATTTATATCTTTTATTCTTATTGCAATTTTGGGATTTATCTGTGTTGTTTTAATTAAAACTAGTCGTCAACGATGGATGGTATTATTTTAAATTATTTTTTATTAATAAGTAATTATTTTTTAATTTAGTATTCTTCTCAAGCATTTCTGCTTGGCACTGTTAATGCCTGGGCAATTAAATTTAGTGTTGATGCATTCGAAAAGGGGCGGACTGATGTGATCACTTTTTGTCTATATGTTATTTTGTTTGGCCTTTTTCATTTTAGCGAATTTCTCATGACAGGTTAATTTTTTATAAATATTATAATAATAAAATTCTATTTAAGCATATTCTAATCCTGATTCACTTCGGCCTGATTCTTTTCTTCTAAATCATTCTTGGGCTTATTGGACAGCAGCAATGTGCTCGTGGATTGAATTTTGGACTCGTTTATGGATACTTCCCAGTAATTTTTTAATTGGGATATTTTTGATAAATTAAATTTAAAAATGCTTTGTATTTTCGAAAAATTTAAAGTTGATCAAAATTTATTTCAGTACATCATTTGCAGCATTCTACTCTCCGTTTGTTTCTCTTGCCGGGTTGATTCTTTGCATACTGGGTGAAATCTTTCGAAAATTGGCTATGTGTCATGCTTCTGTTGGCTTTACACATCAGGTTTCACTTTAAAATAAAATTTTAATTAAAACAATTATTTTCAAAGATATCATTTCGTCGGAGCAGGAATCACAGTCTTTGCACAGATGGTGTTTATGCGTTAGTCCGGCATCCAGGTTTCTGTCTATTATATTTTTCTCTTTATTAAGAATTTTATTTTTAGGTTATATGGGTTGGATGATGTGGTCAATTGGTACTCAAGTAAATATTTAAATTATTTTAAAATTTGTTTTAAAATTTAAGTTAGTCCTTTGCAACCCAATTTGTGTAATTTCTTATGCTATTGTGTCTTATCGATTTTTCGAAGAACGGATATATGAGGAAGAACGTTATCTTATTGGTATTTATTTTGTTAATTATTTTAGTATTTATAATTTTAAAGAGTTTTTTGCTGAGCGTTATATTGCCTATCAACGTTTTGTGCCAACAGGAATTCCCGGTATTAGTGGATATGAGCCTACCAACTAATATTGTTTTATTGACTTTTGTATGGAAAATATTAATTTGAAATTAAATAAAAGAATTAAATTTTCAATTGATCTCTTTATAACATTTTTGTTATTAAAGATTTTTATAAAAATGCATTTATTAAACGTTTTGAATTTTATTGGTTATTTTCACATTTTTGTATTGAATCGATCTTTTACTATATTTTTCAAGTTATTTAATTTTTCTATTCTCTACATATAGTAGATACAGATTTAAAATTAATATTTTATTTAAAAATGAATGGAACAACATCCAATTCGACTGTGAATGGTGTCCCTACCTTCAAAGAAGAAAACGACTCAGATGAGGGCATCGGCAAATCTGAAGCTCATACAAATGCATTTAAACGTCACAAAATTCATTTATCGCCAAAAGATGATAAGGCTACTGGATTTTCGCAAACTCCGCCTTCAAATGGCACAAATTCAGTATTTGTCACGCCTGGCATTTATAAAAGAAAAATTTGTAAACCGCGAATAAAGGAATCGACTGAAGAGGTTTATTGTTAGCTTGAATAATCTTGATAAATTTATATTTAGGTCAAATTTACCTGGTCGGTTGATGAATTGGCTATTTTCCGACCTGTCAATTTTGATGATGCTGAATTTTCTTTGCCGCCGGATGATTGGTAAGAAATATCTAGTTTTATGTTTACGCCTATTTTGTCGTACCTAATAAAACAAATGTACGATCTCGTAGCAAGATTCATTTTATCGACTCAATCCTTATAAAATATTTACCATAAATATTCTTTTATTTCAAGGAATCCCAACCCTCACCACGATGTAGAAAAATTTTGGAGTCGAAATACACAAATATTTCCTTCGCCAGATATACAAAACGTTTTTCGACCTGTTGGTGAAAATTATACAAAATCTTCATCGAGCTCAAGTCCTAACTGTTACAGTTATTCGTCGGAGGATTTTTATGGACAAAATAGTACTGAAAGCAGCAGTAGTCGATCTACTTCAAATGTATTTCTTTTTAATTTTACTTATATTTTTAAATCTTTTAGAAACGATTTATTCACTCATCAGACAACTCGCCAGACGATGCTTTGCTCTTTAAGGTTGAATTTTTGGAATTTATATGGGTATTTTAAAATTGTTTTGAATTCTTTCTTAAATGATTAATAGACTATATTAACATCGTAAAAATTTCCACCAGGATTTTGTCATTTTCCCTTTCTTAAATTTTCTTCGAATTTGTAAAAACTTCCCTTACTCTCTAAATGTTATATTCAAAGAATCTTCAGTTGGATAATATAAAGGATGAAAAAGAAAACGAGCATGAATTTGAACAAATCGAACACTCATTGTCAATTGGAGATGATGCAGATCAAATCTTTGCAGATTTGGAACACGAAAGTGGAAGTTTTGTTATGCGACAACAAGTCAATAGTCCTATAGAGAATGTAGAAAAGTTGTTATTTTTAGAGGTTAGTCTTTTCCTTGAAACTAATATTTTCAATTTTAAGACAAGTCCAATAAAACCTAATAGCTAATATATGAGGGGAATTGGTGATAATTTTTGTAAATCTTAAGGACAATGAAAAATGGTTAAAGTAATAATTGATAATAATGTTGAATATTTAAACTTGTTTATTTTAAAATTATTTGAAGGGTTAAGATAAAATTCATGTTTTCTTTTGGAATTTCTTAACAATAAGTTATTTTCCTTTCTTGTTTTTCTTCTTAAACTAAATCCAGAAAAAAATAAATATTTATTCTCAAAGTTGTAAATTTAAAAAAGTTGGTACTTTTATGCTATGTCACACCCACTGCTATCTAATTAAAGTCCTTTAATCTCCCAATTCTTGTATCAATCGACTACCATCCCAAGTAATCTGTGAGGTGTGAAATAACCGAAAAGAACCAAAAAAATTTCCTTAAAAATAAATAAGTGAAAACTTAAACGGTGGCAAGTCGTTTTGGAAGTTTTTTATTGTTACGTCTCTTTTCTTCCATTTCAATAAAAAGTTTTTCCTTCATTAAGATCTTAATTTCGTCCTTCCCGCGAGCAAGTTCCAATGCCTTATCATAAAACTTGATTGCCTCTTGAATGTTCTGCCTAAAAATATTTTATTTTGCCATGAAATTTAATTAAACTGTTAAAAAAATTTCCTCACTTATTAAGTTGCATTTTAGCAAGCATCCTGTAAGGTTCCCAATTATTTGGATCAGCTTCTAATGCATTATTCATTGTCTTCTCCATATTTTGAAAATAAGCCTCAAAATTATTTTGACTCATTCTCTCACTCGGGGGAGGTTCCAAAACTCTAAATTTTTATAATTTATTAGAGAATATTTAAACAATTAAACCCAGAAAGATAAATAGCAGCAGAACAATTAGGCATTAATTCAAGTGCTTTTTTAATTGATTCAACAGCAATTTCGTTGTTTTGCAATAAAATGCCAATCTTATAAAGGAAGTGAAAGATATTTAAAAATCTATATTTAATACTTTGACATGCATCATTAGAGCAAATACTGGAGGATTATCGGAATCCTTGAAATTTTTTTCCATAGCAAGTACATGTCTATGAATATCTGCAGTATTTCCACTACGAAGTGCCGTTACGAAATTAATATAAGTCTCATAATATCTAAATGAAAATTAATGAATTTTTTATTTAAAATTTTGTTTTCTAATAAAATTTGTATACCAAAAATCTTCTTCTTTTCAAAAGCTTATTTTCAACATTAAATACAAACTTAATAAATTTATGATCCTTATCCAATTGTTTTGCCTTCTCCAAAGCATTTGTTGCTTCTTCTAGTTGTTCAGTTCTTAGAAAAGTAGAAACAAGAAATATCTAAATTAACGTAAATAAAATTTATAAATGTATATTATTAGGCGCGGACATAATTAGTGACACATTTTTTCAATCGCTGATAAAAATGTTAAACTCTTATATTTCTCTCTTAATTTATATATCATTTTAAAGCTTAAAAAGTCCGCTTTCATTTCATATATAACGCAAAGTTCGAACGCAAAACGAACGCAACGCAAAGTTCTACCCAAAGTTCGAAATTTTGAGTTTTTGGGGGTATCTCTACTCGTTTTTTCCTTTACTTGACATTAGGGTTTTTGTAAATTTAATTCTTAATTTAAAAATTTTATAAAATTTTGTTAATACTATCTTGTGTAACTCAGAAAGGGCTTTCGAATGGTATATTACAAGTCATATAAAATTCAGAAATTTTTCAAGAAAATTTGAAATTTGTAAAATATGCCTGATTCGACTTTTTCGACCATAACTTTTGAAATACTTAACCAAAAAATCTCAAATTTAATAATTTGATGGACAAACCCATGATGAACATATATAAAAAATTTCAAATGGATTGGTTAATTTCTGTTTATATTATAGAATTTTCCGCAAAAGCGTGCGAATTTCAGTTTGGGTTAGAGACATTCTTTAATTTATAAAATTTGAAATTTAATTAGAAGTCTATCAAATTATATATAAAATGAAAGCGGACTTTTTAAGCTTTAAAATGATATATAAATTAAGAGAAAAATATTAGAGTTTAATATTTTTATCCGCGATTGAAAAAATGTGTCACTAATTATGTCCCCACCGAATAATTTTACCAAAGGATCAACATTTAAAGGATTAATACGAAGCGCCTCATCAACTAATTGATTTAAACGTTGAAGTTTTGCCTCATTTAATGTCACATTTTCTCCATTTCCATTATCAATTCCAGATTCGTCTGTCTGATTACGTTCTAAGGTCATTTCAAGCACAATTTGAGCAACATTCAAATCTTTGTTTGCCAATTTCTGAGCTTCATCTTAATTTACAAAATAAATAATTAATTAAAAAATATATACCTAATTGTTCCCAAAAAGTCTTAAATTTGTCTGCCATAGCCACAGCTTCCTCCTCCAACCCATGATAATGAAGAAAACGAGCAGCCAAAAGTACAGCTTGTGCTTTTTCAATATTATCATTTTGGTCGTTTTCAATGGCCTTTGTCGACAACGAAACAATTTCGCTGTTTAAAAATTAAAAAACTTTAATAAAAAATAATTAAAAATTACTTGTAATTACAACGTTTTAATTCAACCAAAGCAGCATCCAAACTTCCTTCGCTAGCTTTTTCATGAAGTCCAGCAGCCCTCAACAACAACGGGTCATGAATCGAAGTGCAAAACTGCCAAGGTTCAACAACTGATTGAGAAATTTTCTGTCGCTGTCCTACACGATTCTGTACTGAAATTTCGGTAAAAATAAAAGAAATAAAAATTACCTCTAAAAGTTTATTGCATTCAACCTCGCTAATCTCATTCATAAGTTTGTCAACGTCATTTTGAATGACCGCAATTTGTTGCGAAGGCATAGAGCCTTGCTCCAATGAAAGCGAAACCAAATAGTCTAATAAATAAAATTTAAAATATTAAATAATTAATAAAACCTTCAAGTGCCTCCAAAGGTCTTTCCAAACGATGTAAACATCTTGCCCTACGAACAAGCGCCTTTGCATAATCAGGCTTTAATTGAATAGCTTTGGTGCAATGTTCAATGCATTTAATTGAATCAAGCTTAAAAAGGTAAATTAAAAATATTTTAAACATTTCTAAATAACCAAAGCATCATAACAAGCCGCAATATTATTTTCACATGCTGCCATCAATTCATCATATACCTGACCTATCAATTTAGATGGCTCGTCATAAAGTGATTGAATTATGTCATTAAAAATTTGTATGGCTTCTTGGTATCGTTTGTCTTTGTAAACATCAATTCCTTGCGCTTTCTTTTGTTCTGCCCATACAAGAAAAGCATTACGCGTCCGTCCCCCTCTAGTCTTTTTCCATAACTAAAATTATTTTAAAAAATAAATTTATTTTTTAAAAATAAACACAAACATAATAAGCCCCAATTCCCACTCCAATTCCAGTTCCAATACCAATTAACCAAATTCGATGTTTAGAAAGTAGGGATTTGTCAAAAGAAAAAATGCCGCGTTTAACATTATTTGCACTTGTAGACGCCAAAATCGCTCTCATTTTTAATCAAGAATAATAATCTAAAAATAAATATCAAATAATAAAAAGTGCCATTGACAATACAAGACAATGTTGATTTTTGGTTAAAAAGAATAAAAAAACTCGTGTCACCAAAAAAAACTCGTCGATCATAAATCACTATCATAAAAAAGACGTCTCATAAAAAATTTGTGAAAAAATAATTACTAAAAATAAACTCTAGTTTATCGCAAATGAAAATTTTTACGGGTTACTATATGGCCCAATTATGCTGAAACGGTCAATTCTGAAAAGGCAGGTAGCGCGCGGCCATAATGACGGCGCAAAGTCATAACTTGCTTCAAAGATTCCGAATGTTTCCAAATTTAGTATTAAACAATTCCTCTTGTCGGTCTAAAAAGATTGGTACCAAAATTGATTAGGGCCCGAAGTTTTCCAGCAAATTATGGCTTTGCGCCGTTATGGCCGCGCGCCTAAATGGGCGTGTCCCTGAAAAGGCTTTTATCAAAAATCTGTCATTTTGTCATTATTCATTTTGTTAATCGGAAACATCTAGAAGTTTTTCCCTGTTAAATTTTTTCTTAACTTTGTTTTGCCTTACTTTTTAATTAATTTTTAGTTATTTTTTAAATATTTTCAAAACAATTTACAATGTGGCGTCCAGTTGTTACTTCAATGCAACGTGCTTCTACTCGAGGGTTCAGTTTTGCTTCTGCTAAGACTCCTGCTTTGACCAAATTTATTCCATTGCAACAAAATATTGCTAAACAATATTTTTCGACTTCCCCAATAAGTTTATTAAATTTTAAATTACCCTTTCATATATTTGTTTTTTAGGATTCTCTTCTGTTGCAAAGGAGCTTCAGGATGTTCTTCATGACGAAATTAATGCAGAGAAGACTGCGGAAGAGGAGAATTTGGGAGGTAAAACGACACCTTCGGTTCAGGGTTTTGAAATTGGAATGAATGACGCTGAGTTTCGACTTACGAAGACATATGGGAATGAAAAGTTTTGTTTTTTAATTTAAAAAAACATGATATAAATTTAGAATTGTGGTTTATTGTAATATTAATCACAGTGTGGAGGATGAGGAGCATTTTGAGGATGATAATGTTCCCAGTAGTGTAGCTGATGACATCGAGGAGGTATAAACTTTAATTTTTATTTAAAAAATAGATTCTTGTCCGGGTAGTTTCTTGCCATTTTGTTAACTTGTTTGTACTAGATGGAATGAAAATTAGGAAGGGAATTATCTAGAGAATTTCATTTGAAAAAGAAATTTCGTGTAAGAGGTTTTTACCCGGCCTATGTTTAAAGACGTAGGAGAAGTGTTTTCAGCCCTCTGGCTACGCTTTACTAACATTTTGTTTATATTTTAAATATTTTTAAACCAAATACATTTTTAGAATGTTCCGGTTTCGCTTCCACCATTTCATATCGAGTAAGTTTTTAATTAATTATTTTGTTTTATCCTTCTCATTATTAAGGATAACAAAAGGCAATCTTCGTCTTGTTTTCTTATGTCAAATGGTGAAGGATATTGAAGGAGGATGTAAATATTTTTATTTGATTTTCATAATAATAAATACTTTCTAGATGATTACAGCGTTGATGAGTTTATGATTGCTCCGGCTACAAAAGGTGACAAATATGTGGATGTTCCTGATGAAGTTTATTCTTCTTCTGGTCAATACATTGACGAGGTAATAATATTTTGTTAATTGACATGGGGAAAGAACTTTAGAAAGGTCAATAAAATAAATTTTCGAGAAGTATTATTCTTTCTTCCGAATAAAATTTAAGAAAACTACCGGTATTTAAACGGTTCATAATTTATTTGGGAGAAAGCAATGTTATAACTCCGGTAGTTCAGTTGGAAAAACATTTGTAGATGATGAATGACAATAGGAGTCTTAGGTTCGACTCTTGCCCGAATAATTTGTTCCCTTTAAAAAGGAAGTTGTATCTAGAGAATCTCATTTGAATAAATATTTCTTTTGAGAGGTTTTTGATACAAAAATTATTTTCTGCGGTCTTACCACTGACGTTTTTAATTTAATTAAACGTTGGCTAATACTACGCGGAACATTGGAATTTTTTATTTAAGAAAAATCCTTTTAGTTTCGAAAAATATTTTTATTATTTTTCAATTATTTAGCAACTTCATGTGCTGCTTTTTGTTCGTTATCTTGAAGAACGTGGACTTAATTCGCAGTTCTGTCATGAATTCGTTAAATTAGGTAAAATAATTAAAAAAATTTTTTTTATTTAAATTTAATTTTAGCAACTCATTATGAGCATCAGCAATACGTTAATTTGCTCGAGAAGCTTAAAAAATTTGTTGAACAGTAAATGAATTTAAAAAGTCAAAAAATGTTTTAAGTTTTTGAATTTATAATTTAATTTGATGACTTTACACTATTTTGTTGTTTTTGTCTCTACCCTTTTGGTAGTTTTAATTATTTTGAAATAAAAGTGACTTTTGAAATTAAAAATAAAATAATTTTTAAAAATTTATTTAAAATTTGTAACAATGATTGAATATTTTAGTAAAGTTTTGAAAGAAAAGAAATTGTTCATTTGTTAGTATGTGGTGGTTGTTAGTAGAGGTGACTTCTTCAGAAACAGCCCATAAACTCAAAAATAAAAGAGAAAACTGAGTTAAATAGAAATTACGATTTAAAAGATTTTCAGGAAAAAAGATTTTTTTAAATGAAATTTTTGGAGTTGAAGATTAAATAAAAATGCCCCCAAAGATGAATTTTCGTTTATTTATTTTTTATGGAAAATTTTGTTACTTCAGAGGAACTTCAAAGGGTCGTATAGAAATTAGGGATTATCCAAAAAATAACAGATATAATCAAAATTGTCCATTTTGTTGTAAATATTGTCCAATAATTACTAGGGCCTGGATTTTAATTTTCCATACAGGGAAGAATGACAGATACCTAAATATGTATTTCTGGAAGTAAAAAATATTTTAAATAATTTGGTGTATATTTAAATAGCACGATTTTCGCTAATATATTTTTTTGTTACTTAAAAAGGAACATGTAGGGTTGGCAGATTCTGGAAATTCAGATCATGTGAAGTTTAGGAACCCTTTAAAAATCCGGCCCTAATATACAATTATTTAGAAATTTTTCTTTAATAAATGCTTCCGAGATTCTCATTTTTAGCCGTTTACAAGAAGTTGAACTTGAATGAACATTTTTGATGCATTCACTATAAAATAACTGGGCTAGTTTACGGCCAAAAATCTCGAGCTTTTTCTGAAGAAGTTTTTGTACACGCACCTCTCTAAAATAAAAAAAAAATTAAATTTTTTATATTTATTTAAGAATTCTATATAAGTATTTACGTTCATTTAGTTTAATTTGAGCGAAAAATTTATTTCACAACAATTCAAAACTAGTGTAAGGCTTATTCGAAAAAACCGATTTTTCTATAATTTTACTGATACGATATTGTTATACAGGAAAAAACCCCGACCGTACGTGCCCAACACTATTCAATACGGCTGTTTCAGGAATTGTTTTTTGAACAGAAAATCAGTCTATTATTCTGCAAAACGATTCGATCTTATTTATTATTTTTCTCTCAAAATCCCACCAAAATCTTATTAATTTTCGGAAATCTCGGTTTCGAGCAATTCTAATTTAGAAATAAAGTCAATTCAACTCACTTTTATAATTAATTTATTTACACTTGACTAGATTGCACTTGAATCGACCCATTATTTTAAATCTAATAAATTAGTTAAATTATGTAAAAAATATGTAAACTTACAATTAATTAAATAATTTTAGAAATTATTTCCTCATTTTTAAGAAAAATTAAAATTTAGAAGAAAAAAGAATTTTGAGAAAGGGAAAAGAAATATTTAGAAGTAAAGCTGAAAATATTCACAATAAATTGTTTTTTACATCTAAAAAGTATATAAGTAATAATTTTCTGTAAAATTCTAAAAAAATGTTTGTGGAAAAAATAAAAATATTTATGAATGGCCTAGAATGGAACCTAAATAAAATAGAGGATTTGCATTATTAATAACACAAATTGTGGACTTTTGGAAAAACAATAATACAAAATTATCAACAGATTTTTAAAATAAATATTAGAAAAACAACTAAAGTATAAATCAACGAAAGGACAATGTTCTTCCAAAATATATGAGATAATTACTACTAGTCTTAAAAATTGGAATAAGTAGATAAAAGGATTAAATTTAAAAATTCTTGAAGGCATTTAAAAATAATTTCTTTTAGTTTATAATAACAAAATTATTCTTAATTTATCAAGAATCTTCTCTATATTTATTTTTATGATTCATTTAAATTAATTCTTTAATATTTCTTGTTATCAGGTCAAAAATAATTTATTTGTTTAAATATACAATATTTACAAATTATTATTTACCTTTAATTATTTAAAAATAATTTAAATGAAATGTTTATTTTAATCAAGAAACTCCCGGTTTTCTACAAGGAGTGAATTTAATTTATTTTAAATACAGTCAAATTTCAATCGGCTCAATTCGATCCCGGTGGTAAAAAATAATTTATAAAAATATTATCGAGATTCAAATGTAAATAATGAATTTACCGACGAAGAAAAATTAAATAAAAATATTATTTAAAAGCATGGAGGCAACTAAAATGTGTTAAATGGAATAAATTTTACTGAAAGGGAGAAAAGAGGAATTGAATTTTAGAAAAAAATTAAATTTTATTTTTAATTTGTCAATTTATTCAAAGCTTTTCCTCTTTAAATTTTTTTTGAAAAGCAGGTGACAAAACTTTTATTTTTCAATGCATTTTAAATAAAAATATTCAATCGAGAATGTCTTCCTGATTTTTTTAAAAACGTTGGCAATGTTTTTTCAACTAACAAATTATTTTTGATAAAATATTTTAAATTGTACTTTTATGTAATAATTTAAATTTTTTTTATTTTAAATTAAAAAAATAATTTTACTTAACAAACAATAAAAAGTAAATAACAGAAAAAAACTCCAAAA